CATCCCATCCCCATCCCCATCCCCATCCCCATCCCCATCCCCATCCCACCCCATTCCATTCCATTCCATTCCATTCCATTCCATTCCATTCCATTCCATTCCATTCCATTCCATTCCACTCCATTCCACTCCATTCCATTCCATTCCATTCCACCCCATTCCATTCCACCTCATCCCATCCCCATCCCCACCCCTTATGCACTGTGACTGCATTCTGGGGTCACCAGCACCATAAGGAGGCCCTGCAGCAGGACTGGCAGCAGCAGGCAGCTGAACACAGTGGGTGCCATAGGATGGAGTCGCAGTGGAGTGGGGTCACGTCAGGGTGGAGTCACAGGGGCAGGGTGATGGGGAGGAAGGGACAACCTCACCTTCTGCGGCTCCAGCAGGCTGACAGGCATGTTGCCCCCACTGAAGATCTCCCACAGGGTCGCCCCGAAGCTCCACTTGTCGGCTGGCAGCGCCAGGCTCTGGGGGTCACTCAGGCACTCGGGGGCCACCCAAGGGATGCGCTCCACCAGCACTGGAGAGAAGGGATGGCCCTGCTCAGCACCACCAAGGGGGGGCACGCGGCTCCCCAGGGTCCATACAGCACTTACACTCCTTGGCCAGGACGGTGATGCTGACTCCAGGGTCGCTGAGTTTGATGAAGGGGGGGCTGCCGCTGGCCGCGTCCCCCTCCCGGGTCAGCAGCACCTTCTTAGCAGAAACGTTGCCGTGGGTGATTTTCTTGTCCTCCTGGGAGGGGACAGAGACCCTGAGTGGGGTGTGGGGGATCAGCGGGAGCGAAAGGACAGCAGCGCTTGGAGATGTGGGACAGGGATGGGTGGGAGCCACGGGGATGGGGATGCATGGGACACGGGGGGTTGGGGGCTACGGGAATACAGGTGCAAGAAGCCGTGGGGATAGAGCTGCGTGGGAGCGGGGGCACATCAGAGGACGGGGGGCGCTTTGTCCATCCACTTACCAAGTAGTTGAGAGCGTATCCCAGCTGCTTGGCCACCTGCAGCTTCCAGCTGGTCGTCACCTTGCCCTCGCTGTGGTTCTTCTTCAGGTAGAGGTCCAGGGGCCCGTGCCTGATGTACTCCTGCACCATGATGCCTGCAGGCAGGGGGCAGCAGGCCGGTCCCACGCATGCACACAGCGGGTGGCAGCGTGGCACAGGGGACAAGGGACACTCACTGTCCTTGCCGAGGCTGACGCCGTGCAGCAGCACCAGGTGCTTGTGGGACAGCTGGCTCATGATGCTGGCGGCCTCCAGGAAGGACTGAGGGGGAGATGGGGTCAGGGGGCTGCGGGACGCAGGCGGGTTGGTGCCGAGGGGCCCCCCAGCTCACCTCGGAGCAGTTGCGGTGGCTGCTGTCCATCACCTTGAGCACCACGGGGGTCTGGTAGAACTCGTCATCCTTCTGGTCCCGCTTGATGCCCTTGTAGATGTGGGTGAAGGAACCCTGCCCCAGGCTCTCGCCCTGCCGTGGGATGGCATGTTGGGCTGGGAGGGTCCCCCCTGGCCCCCGGCCCCCCCCACCCCATCCTGCTGTACCCGTATGAGGCTCTCAGGGTCGATCTTATGGAATGTCAGCTGGCTGGGGCTGCGGCGCGGGGCGGGGGGGGGAGTTGGGGGGCCGCGGGCGGCCGCTGCGCACGATCAGCAGGTTGGATTTCTCTGGAGGGGGGGGGGGGGGGGGGATGCGAGGGGCGGCTGTGACGTCATAACGCCCGCTCTGTGACGTCACACCGCTCGCTATGACGTCACAATGCTGCGCCGTGACGTCACAATGCTCGTTGTTTGACATCACAATGCCTGCACTGTGACATCGCAACGCCCGCACTGTGACGTCACGCAGCGCCTTTTACAACAACACACCTCATTTCACAACCCCCCACCCCCCCAAACCCCTGCCCTCATCGTGCCCCTATAGCCTATAGGTGTCACCTCGGGGCAGAGGTGGGCAGCACGTCTCCAGGCGCAGGTGAGCACCCTCAGCCTGCAGCCCGCAGCGCCCATAGGTGCCCAGCAGCTCCTGCAGGCTGCAGAATCGCCTTGCCAGCCCTGTCATCCAGAAGCTGCCATCCTCATCCCTGCGGATCAAGCAGCGTTTGAAGTCCTGCCCGGAGCGTGTCTGTGGGGAGAGAGAGAGCTCAGCACCGTGGGGTGCTGGGAAACACCAGTGGCACTGTCCCCTCGGTGCTGGGTTCTGTGCCACGTGGAGAGGACGTGAGGGGGGGGTCTGTGTGGCACTGGGCCCCACCTCGGTGCACACGGTCAGTAGAAAGCTGTCGAAGTCCTGGGGGCTGCGGCGCAGCACAAACAGCCCTGGCTGGGCCCCCGCCGCCTTCAGCTTACGCACAGCAAACTCAGAGCTGCAACACAGCTGGGTGTGGGGAGGGGGGTATCGCAGGGACACCCCACGGTGCGTCCCAGCGCTGCCCAAGCACGGTGGGCACTACAGCGTCACCCCTTGGGTGGGTGGATGGGGGTCCTCTCTCAATAATTCCCTTCCGCTTTGAGCCCCACAGCCTGGGGGGATGGGGCACACACACCTGATGGGCCCATGGCATTGGTTCTCCACGTCTTCCAGCAGCCGGGGGGGGGCCACCTCCTTGCAGAAGTAGTGGTGGGCATCTGCAGTCAGGCGGTAGTAGCCATCCAGCAGGGCCACGAAGGAGAGAGCTTCCCGCAGCGTGGGGAACTCCACCTCCTGGGTGAGAGCGAGGTGAGCCCCCAGCACACTATGACCCCTCTGGCACCCCACAGGTCCCCCCCCAGCTCACCAGCACCCTGTTGTCTGTCTTGGTGAGGGTGACGATGCGGTTCTCCACGGGGCCACCATCACGGCTCGCCTGCTTGATGCTGACGTCGGCGATGTCGGGGAAGTCACAGAAGTGCTGGCGGCTCTGCAGGGACACCGGGGGCTGCCCTACGCGTGTCCCCCCACCCCATGACCCCCCCCTCCCCTCCACTCATCCACTGTCAGACTCCCCCCACCTGCACTGTGGCTGGACCGCCCCATCCTCACCCTCTGGTTGGGGGTTTCCGCACCTCTGATCCGCCGCAGCTCCAGGAGACCCCGCTGTCTGCAGACACGTGGATGGTGATGTCGGCGTCGGGGCCGCGCGCACGGAAGCTCTCCTCAGCCCAGCAGCGCCGCAGCCGTTCCAGGTCCAGCAGGTATTTCAGCTTCAGGCAGCGCCCATCCGCCCTGCAGCCCCCCATCCTGCGCAGGGACTGCGCGACGCGGCGGCGGATGCGCTTGCGGGTGAGGAAGCTGTGCTGTTGGATCTGACACCGCAGCGGCTCCGGGATGCAGGACTTGTAGCTGGGAGAGGGGGGAGGCAGGAGATGAGGCAGGAGGGGGTTAAGTGCCCCCCGCCTCCCCCCCCAGGTGAGGTCCCCCCTCACCTGACGCAGCTGAAGACCTGCTCGGGGCTCTGCCACTTCTCCTTGGCGATGCGCAGCATGTCCAGCACCGCCAGGCTCAGGCACTCCTCCTGCTCCGCCAGGCTCAGTGCCAGCTCCATGCGTCCCGCAATGAAGTCACTGCGAGACTGGGGACAGAGACACAGCTCGGGGTGGGGGCAAAGCCCCCTGCTCGCTGCAAGCCCTGGTTGTGCACCAGCCGTGCATCTCCAGAGCCTGGCTCCATGCATGAGGCTGAGGCAGGAACCGTGCATCCCCCCTACCCCATCATTCATGGCCAGCCCCCGGCTCCGTGCCCATGTCTGGCACACCCCTGGGGCAGGGATGCACGGCTCACCTGGGCAAACAGGTAATCGATGACGGGGTAATCCAGCACGGGGCTGGGGCGGTCGCTGGGCAGCTGGAAGCGATGCGCCTGGCCCAGCCCACACCAATTGGGGAAGAAGAACCTGTTGGGGCAGGGTTGGCTGGGCTCAGTGCCGCGTCCCGTGCCGCACAGCCCCTATCAGCCAGCAGAGAGTCCCCACCTGATCCTATACACCACCACCTGGCTGCGGGCATCCTCCACTGTGAAGAGGTGGTTGGGGGGGTACCAGCAGCTGAGATCCTCCGTGGCCAAAGCGAAGAGAGGATGGCAGATGGGCAGCACGCCTGGTGGCAGAGGGACAGCGCCGTCCTCGTGGCTGTGACCACGCCGGATGGGTGCGCAGCTGGGGGATGGTGCTCACCGCAGGCCTTGGCAGCGCGCACACACAGCTCCTCGGCCGTGTATTCGCCGAAGGTGAAGGTGAGGATGGCGGTGGAGTCGGGGGCAGCATGGGGTGCCCGGTGGTAGAGGAACACCTGCAGTGTGCCGGGCTCCGAGGAGGACAGACTGCAGGAGTGCTCGCCGATCAGCGGCGTCTCCTCACCCAGCGGGGCCATGGCGGGCGCTGCAAGGCCAGCAGTGCTCAGTGTGCTCCCTGTGTGCCCCCCTGGTGTGTCCCCAAGCGCGGTGCCCCGTGCTCTGAGACCCATAGGAAATGGGACCTTCCTTGCCGTGGAGTAAAACCCCACGCTGTCTCTGGGGCTCGGACCCATTGCCCTGTGTTCGTTTTGCAGATGGGGAAACTGAGGCACGCCGCTGTTTTATAGGTGCTCTGCAGCAGCCAGCTCGGAGACACGCTTGTGCCCTGCATCACACCTGGCCTGGAGAGCACACGGCTCCATCCCTGTGCAGGAGGGTCGGCTGGAGCCCACAAACCCCCCCCATGTCCCACAGTACCTGTGTTGTCCCGGTGGCCTTGCTGGTGCTGTGCGTTCTGTCCTGGGTGGGGCTGCTGCACTTTTTGGGCTGCGTAGGTGGCTGCGAGCGTCAAAAAGTCCCCATGGTGACTTCCTTCCTGCCCGCAGCGTCTCTGAGCAGAGCGAACTTCCTGACCAGGGAAGGGGCACGGGGCAGGGGGCCCTAAGGAGCCACCCCAGGGGCAGAAGGCACCCCCTGCTCCAGGCATCCCCCTGCTCCCTGACAGTGATGTGGGTGCAGCAGCGGTGGGCACCTTTCCATGTTCCACCCTGTCCCACCCTGCTCCCAGTCCAATGCTGCCCCATGCAGCCCTTGTTCCCCCCACGCTGCTCACAGCCTCCCAGCACTTCTGGGAGCTGCCCACCCCCTCTGGGTCCCTTTGGGAGCCCCATGTGGCTGTGCCAATGCTGTGTGGCCTGGTGGGTATGGGGGGGGGAGGGGGTGCAGCAGCTTTTTCCCCCTTTTTGCTTCCCAAAGAAGCGAAGGCAGCAGAGAGGCAGGGATGGGGTGCTGCTCCATGGGGACAAGGCCACGATGCACCATCACTGTGGACATACCCTGGGGACAACATGCTGGAGCGCAAGGATGTGCCCCATGGGGACAGCACATCCTTTGGCAGAGGGGACAGTCCCCACGTTGCAGCTTTTCCTGGGTTGCAGCCCTATTTTTCAAGCATGGGGACCAACGTGTCCCGGGTGGAACAAAGCACCTCTTATACCTGGGAACGAGGAAGCAGGGCTGGCCCTGTTGTCACTGCACCCTGAGGGGAAGAGCCATGGCCCCATCCTTGCCTTCAGGCCTTGGACCCTGCAGGGGTGGGCGGCAGGGAAGGGGTTATCGCCGCGGCCCCACGCAGCTCTGCCTCCCTCCCCACGCCATAGCCTGCCTCCTCCCAGCCCCTCTGGCACTCTGCGCCCGCCGAGGTCGCGGCCGGATCCCTGCCAACCCCTGGGGGAGCAGCTCGCAAAGGAGGTGCTTTTGCTGGGTAAAGGTTTCGGTTGGGTTTGTTTTGTCGCCGGCGGGAGATAAGTGGTGCTCAGCGCTCCGTGTTTGCGCTGGGTTTGGGGGATTACTGCGTCCCGGCCGTGTCCTTCGGCTGCTTCGCTCTGCGGTGCGACTGGGCAGCGCTGTGCGCCACGGATCGGGAGGTATTTGGGGTATCTGTGGTATTTGGGGTGCTCTCTGGGGCTGCTTCTTTGCACCCTTCCACTGGGATGAGCACAGGGATGGCGATGTGGTGATGCTCACTCATCCACACCTTGCACCTCGATAACCACCCTGTGCTCTGTCTTGCTGCAGTGCTGCTGCCCCTGGATACACCGGGACCCCCGTGCCCCATCCCACCCGCAGGTCCTTGTCCCTGTGTGCCCAGGGGGGGCCATCTGCACACCACCACCATGCTGGCATCACCGGGCAGCCTGGAGGAGTGGGCATCAGAGCCCCTCACCTTCAGCCTCTGGGATTACGGCGTGTTCGGGCTGATGCTGCTCGTCTCCACGGGCATCGGGCTGTTCCACGGGCTGTCCAAGGGAGGCCAGAAGACCTCAGAGGACTTCTTCATGGGCAGCCGGCGCATGGCAGCAGTGCCGGTGGGGCTCTCGCTGTCGGCCAGCTTCATGTCAGCCATCCAGGTGCTGGGGGTGCCAGCTGAGGCGTATCGCTACGGCTCCAAGTTCCTCTGGATGTGCCTGGGGCAGCTGCTCAACACGCTGCTCACTGCATACCTCTTCTTGCCCGTCTTCTACCGCCTGGGGCTCACCAGCACCTATGAGGTAGACATGGGGGTCTGCATCCCCCTGCGTTGCAGGCAGGGGATGGGATTCTCCCAGCCAAACCTGCACACTCCCTCTCTGTTCCCAGTACCTGGAGTGGAGGTTCGGACGGAGCGTGCGGCTCTGCGGGACGCTGCAATACGTGATGGCTACGGTGAGTTCCAGGTTGGGGATGTAGGGATGGGGGTCCCCGTTGTGTTCAGCCCCTAAGAGACCCCCTTGTTCCCATGCACGTGCTTTTTCCGTGGCTCCAAAGCAAACACGGCCCTGTGGGATGGCTGTTTGGAATGGAGAGCTGAGTGTTTTTCCAGCGCCCGCAGCACCAGCACGTCACATCCCCCCCTGTGGGCACCGGGCGCTGCTCTGACCCCCAACCCCATCCCCACAGACTCTGTACACAGGGATCGTCATCTATGCTCCTGCTCTGATCCTCAACCAAGGTACGGGGGGGACATGTGGGACAGCATCCACACGTCCTCATCCCCTCATCTCTACCCCGAGCACCAACGCTTATCACCATCATCTGCCCTTCAGTGACCGGTTTGGACATCTGGGCGTCCCTGCTCTCCACTGGCGCCATCTGCACCTTTTACACCACCATAGTGAGTGCACAGTGGGGGCTCCAGGGGGGTCCTGTGGGCTCTGGCTTCCCGGCGCTCACTGTGCTCCCGCTGGCGCAGGGCGGGATGAAGGCTGTCATCTGGACCGACGTCTTCCAGGTCTTCGTCATGCTCTCTGGGTTCCTCGCCGTCATCATCCGGGGGCTGCTGCTTGTGGGGGGCCCCACCAGGGCACTGGCCATCGCCACCAACGGCTCCAGGGTGAACTTCGGAGAGTGAGTCCCTGTATGCCCCCCCCCCCCCCCCCCCCCCCCCCCCCCCCCGGGTGCTGCAATGCCCGCACTGCCCCTGCTCACTCTCTGCCCCCAGCTTTGACCTCGACCCGCGGAGCCGTTACACCTTCTGGACCTTCCTGCTGGGCGGCACGTTGGTCTGGCTCTCCATGTACGGCGTGAACCAGGCTCAGGTCCAGCGCTACGTGGCCTGCAAGAGCGAGAAGGAGGCGAGGATGTGAGGAGAGGGGCAGCAGGGGGCACAAACCCCCAGCATGGGGGTGAGGGGTTGCACTGCAGGGCTGGGATGCGTGGGAAGCCAGCCCCACCACCCTGCATGCATCCTGCACCTCTGCGCAGACTCTGCACCCCTGCACGTCTCCTGCACCCTTGAACTCCCCCTGCAGCCTTGTGTGACCCCTGCCCAACCCCTGCAGCCCTGCTGAGCCTGGGGAGCCGTGCTTTGATCGCACCCTGTGCCCGCAGAGCGCTGCTGGTCAATCAAGTGGGGCTCTTCTGCATCGTCTCCAGCGCGGTGGCCTGTGGCCTTGTGATGTTTGTGCTCTACAAGGACTGTGACCCCCTCCTGGCCGGCCACATCTCGGCCCCTGACCAGGTACGGCTGCACCGGATCCGTCCTCTTGAGCACTCAGTTGAGAGCAGCCAGGAGGAACAGGGAGAAGGATGGGGACAGGGGTCCCGCCTGCCCCCTGACACAGCTGTGCCCCCCAGTACATGCCCTACCTGGTCCTCGACATCTTCCAGACGTCCCCTGGGGTACCCGGACTGTTCCTGGCCTGTGCCTACAGCGGGACCCTGAGGTGAGTCCACCTGGGGACCCCGACATCCCCAAGGAGGGGGTGGCTCTGTGCCGTCCCCACCCTCAGTTTGGCACGGGGCTGAATGCCGTGCTCCCCCAGCACCGCCTCCACCAGCATCAACGCCATGGCAGCCGTCACTGTGGAGGACCTGGTGAAGCCCCGGCTGCCCACGCTGTCACCAAGGAGGCTGATGCTGATCTCCAAGGGGCTGTGTGAGTGAGGACGGGACTGCTGCACGGCCCTGATGCCACCCTGCCCTATGCCACGCTGTGCCAAAAACGTGCCACCACGCGCTGCACCGTGCCACTCCGTGCACCCCACCCTGTGCCACGCCATGCTGCTCTGTCCTGCACTGTGCCGTGCCGTGCAGCACTGCTGTGCCATGTCACAGCCCTCCCCCCCCCCCGACCCCTCTGTCCCCACAGCACTGTTCTATGGCATTGCTTGCATCACGGTGGCTGCGCTGGCTTCGCTGCTGGGCGGTGGTGTGCTGCAGGTGAGTCCTCCCCAGCCCCCCCTACCCTTCCTGCTCTGCACCCGCGCTCATCACACACGGCTGGTGGATGGAGAGCCCTCGAGGCACCTCAGGGTCCCCCTGCAGGGCTCCTTCACCATCATGGGGGTCATCGGCGGCCCTCTGCTGGGAGCCTTCGTGCTGGGCATGTTTGTGCCGGTGTGCAACACAGCTGTGAGTGCTGGGCGGGCGGGGGGTGTGGGGCTGGGGGTCCCAGCACCATGCAGACCCCACTGCTCGCCCAGGGTGTGTTCGGGGGTCTGGGTGTCGGCCTCGCGCTCTCGCTGTGGGTGGCAGTGGGTGGCAGCCTCTACCCGGCCCCTGCCAACGTTGCTGGTGTCCTGCCTGCCTCTGGAGCCCACTGCCCGCTCTACAACCGCACCGCCAGCACCAACCACACGCTGCTGCTGGGACCACTGCCCCCCCAGCGCCCCGGCACAGAGCCTGCAAGGTGAGAAGGGACGGGTAGCAGGGATGGGGACGGGACAAACCATTGCTCCTGTACGGTGGGCTGGGGGCTGCTCCCAGTGACATCACCACGCTGTCCTTCTTCGCTCTGATGTCACCCCGCTGTCGCTGACTGCTGTGACATCGCAGTGCTGCTTTGATCGCAGTGATGTCGCGCCGGTTTCCCTCTTCATCTGTCACAGTGCTGTCCTTGTCCTGTGAGACACCACACCGCTGTCCTTGCTCGTTGTGATGTCACACTGTCCTTTCCTTTGTCCGCTGTGATGTCACACTGCCTTTCTGATGGCGGCGACGTCACCACCAACACCCCCCCCCACGCACACCCTGCAGGCCTCCCATCGTGGGTGACTTCTATGCCATCTCCTATCTGTACTACGGGGCACTGGGGACGCTCTCCACTGTGCTGGCAGGAGTGCTGCTCAGCTACCTGGCAGGTGAGCCTGTGGGCAGCGGGGGCACATTTAGAGTGGGGGGCTGCCCCACGCTGCTCCCTCTCACCCTTCTGTTTCCCCCCCCGCAGGGCCCACCAAGCGAGCACAGCTGCCCCCAGATGTGCTTTGGTGGGACATCACCAAGCAGACATCCTCTGTGTCCCCAGCTGGGGGTGCGGCGCCTTCAGGGGGGTGTCCCACCAAGGTAACACCCCTCAGATCCCCCCCACCACTCCCAAAACACCCCTCCCAACTTCTGCCCACGTGTTCCCTCTCCGCAGGTCTGCAGAGACCTTCAGGGGGGCCCCTGTCCCGAAGCCCCCCCGGTGCTGCTGGGGCTGGGAGGGCAGTCACGAAGCCCCCCCCAGCACCGCGGGGTCACCGAGCAGCTGCTGCAGGAAAGCCACGTGTAGGGACACGGCCACGGCGGAGGGGGGACATGGGGGAGGGGCACGGGCACCGATGCCCACCCGCTGTGTCGGTGTCGCCCCTCCGGGAGGGGACAATAAATGAGGCGGGGGCTCCATGGAACACAGCGTCTGTGTGTCACTGTGTGGGACTGGGGACTGGGGGGGGGCACAATGAGGAGGTCCATGCTGGGTCGAGGAGGGGGCGTGGTCACGACCGGCCCCGCCCACCGGAGGGGCACCGTTAGGCCCCGCCCCGAACGGGTGTCAGCGCCCGATAGGCCACACCCACATAGCCACACACCCCGCCGCCATCTTTGGGTGTTGGCACCGCGCCGCCATCTTTATGCCGGGCACGAGGGTGGACGGAGCGGTGGGAGTCGAGCGGCTTTCTCGCGGTTCTCTCCCCGAGATACGAGCGGGGATGAGGATGCGGTTACGGATACGGGCTGCATCCCTCTCACCACCATTCCTCCGCCGTTCTCTCGGAGCCGTGACCGCACCGTGCCCTCAACAAAGATGGCGGCGGGAGCGCTGCGAGGCCGCGGGCGTCGCTTCCCCTCATCCTGCGGGACGCGCCGCGCGGAGTGATGACGCACAAAGAGCGCGACGGGCGGAGCGGCGGAGCCGGGTAGGAACGGGACGGGTGGGATCGGGGCGACTGGGAGCTCGGGAAAGGGGTCGGGATCCCCGCGGGGATGAGATCCGGCCCGAAGCGCTGCGCCGCGAGCCGCCGGATCTCATTGCCGTTAAAAATCGAGGTTTCAATTCCAAAAGGCGGCGGCTGAGCGGGGAGGGCCTCCCGGGTGCGTTTTGTTGGCGTCGCGTCTGCGGGCCGTGCCCTCCGCGGGGCACTTCGTCCGTGTGACGGGCGGTGCTGCTGCTGCGTGACCCCTCCTGCGGCTCCGCCACCTCCCGCGGGTAGCTGTGACCCCGCACGGGGGTCGGGGGCTGCTGGAGGAGCCGGGATTGGCCGCTGCTGGGTGCGGGAGGCTTGGCGGTGGTGGGGGGCTGCTGCCACAGCAGAGATCGCCCAGCGCCGGCGATGTGGGAGCGGCACGCTGAGGTCCCCCCCGAGCTGCAGGACTGTGATCACGAAGCTCTGGGTCCGGGCTCCGTCTCTGCTTGTATCCCTGTGATCCCGAGGGCCTGGCGTTGCTCTGAAGCTCCTTGCTTGCTTTTCTTCTCTGCAGAGCACCGTGAGTGATGCCCAAGAAGTTCCAAGGGGAGAACACCAAGTCGGCTGCTGCCCGTGCAAGGAAGGCGGAGGCAAAGGCAGCAGCCGATGCCAAGAGGCAGCAGGAGCTGGAAGATGCCTACTGGAAGGATGACGACAAACACGTGATGAGGAAGGAGCAGAGGAAGGTGGGTGGCTGTCGGGTTGCTCCTGAGGGAAGGGTGACTTCTTGTCCTCTGTCACAAAGCTGTGGCTCTGCGCACGTCGCCCCGCACTCAGCTCTGGGGCAGAGCAGCCAATGTGAGCAGCTCCTGTGGGAGCTGAAAGAGTGGAGCGTGGGGGTGAGTGTGAGTTGGGTGTGTGATTGAGGAATGCACTGATTGCAGAGCCGCCTCCTGAAGGAAGGGAGTCAAAGCTGCCTTATGGGAGCCATGGAGTTAAGGAAATGCTCCGGAACTCTGCTGTGATTTTCTTATTTGTGTTGCTTTTTATGATCAGGCAGATCTTTAGCTTTTTGTTTCTGTCCTTTGGATTCCATTCTTAATTTTTCCTTCTACAAAAAGAAATTCAAGATATCAACAGAGTTTAATACGTTTTTTCTCCTCCCCAGCTCAGTGTGCCCCGTATCACAATTACCTCTCAAAAAATAAGATTCTCCCTGCTTTGCTCTTAGCAGCTCACTCCACTCAGTGCACATCTGCCTCAAAAACCAGAGGAGTTCATCAGAGCTCATCTGCAGTTATTTGGTTTGCAGTGTTATCCTGCCCCAGCGTTAGACAAACTTCTGACTGCGCTCATTCTTCTGGAAGTGATTCTTGAGGGCAGCTTATCTGCCTCTTCTGAAGCAATTTGTTTGCTGTTTCGCTACCTGGAGAGGGTTTTACTGGAGATACAAACGGAATTTATGGGGTTACTGATTCTGTGTTGCTCTGTTTGGCACTGGCTGAGCTCCGTGTGCTGACTTTGGGCAGGCAGGGGGCCAACGTGTCCCCATGACCCCGAGGCTGTGAATTCCCTCCCCCCCCCTCGATGTGTGTCCTGACATTTGGAACTTGGAGTCCTGCGTGCTGTTCCCCAGCGCAATCCTGTAATGCTGCTTAATTATTTCCTGGAACAAGGTCTTATTATTGCGCCTCTTAAGGGTTGCGTTTTTTTTCCCCTTTGCCAGCAGTGACCTACTTTGCTGCTCTACCAAAACAGCCTCCTGCAGGAAAGGGGCATGGGAACCTCAGCAGGGGCACTTGGTCTGTTAGCTCCAAAATTTGGGTCCGGCTCAGAGCCTCACACAAAGGCTGTGGAGAACTCAGCGCTCTGGTTCCCCCCTCAACTGCTCTGCAAGCACACAACTTGTTAGAGGGGGAGGAGATTCCTCAACAGGAGCTCATTCTCTCCTGTCGCCTGGGTTTGGGACATCCTAGAGAAATTCAGCCTCATGTGGGAGCATCTTCCTGCTGGCAGCTCCTGGGTCTGACTTCTAGCAGAATGCTGAGTGCTTTTTCTTCCCAGGAACCTCCTGGCAACCCGTGGCTCAATGCAGCAGCAATCTGCTCGATGTGGAGCTGCCCTGCCAGAGGGGCTCCGGTTTTGCTGGTGTTGCCGGCACGCAAATCGCCCTGCTGGCTGCTGGCTGTGCGTTGCTGCCGATCACGGCGTGCAGAACCGCGTCTCTCGCAGTTCTTCCCCCGGCTCTCCAGGTGATGGCAGTAACACGTTAAGCAGCGGCTCTGCGTCGGGAGCGAGTGGGCACGGCTGGAAGCCTTGGGCCATCGCCCAGCGGGACACGTGTGCAGAACAAACCGCCTTTCATCCCTTCCTCGCCCCGTGGATGGGCCTCTGAGCAGTGAATGAGAACCCAGCGCGCGTTTTTGCCTGGGGATTCATCGGCTCTGCGAGGTGGTTTTGAGGTTTCTTGAAACACCACCCAGCTCTGAGTGCAGCCGTGGCAGCTGATCCCTGCTGGCAGGGGATGGCGCTCATTTGGTGGCTCTGTGATGCATGAAGGAACATCTGAGCTCAGCCACCAGCCCACTGTGTGTGTGTGTGTGTGCCTCCCTCCTCTGGCACTGCGGCACGATGCACAGCTTGCCTTCCTCCCCAGAGAGCTCTGGCTGAAAGCACAGCATCTCCGTGCTCCCTGCTGAAAGAGCCAGGTTTGATCCCCGTGGAGCTGTTTCCCCATCAGTGCAGGTGTCTCCCCCTGGCTCTGCCCTCCTCCACACGCAGTTCGGCTGTGGTTCAGAGCGCACGGCTCCCAGTCCGCCCGGCTGCAGCACCTTTCCTTCTCTCCACACAGTTAGCTGAAGTGTGTCTGCTTGGTGGAACGGCTGCAGACGTGTCCTGAGCGAAGCTGCAGGTGGGCTTGGAAGGCTGACAAGGCATTAAAAGCACTGAGGTGTTACAGGAGGAGGGCTGGTGGTGGATCTGCCAAGGGCAGAGGGCTTGCACCTTGCAGTCCCTGCTGGGAAGGTGCAGTTCCCATCTCCTTCCCCAGCTCCTGCTGTCTGTCTGTGTGGGACAGCAGCCCTTCTTTCAGTTCAGGCTGTGTTCTGGCTGTGCTGTGCTTGCTGAGCTCCCTGCTGCTCAGCCCTCGCCACCTTCCTGCTCATCCAGCATCCTCGGCATCGTCCTGCGGGCCTGCAGTGACTGTGCCTCTGATTCAGTGCAGAATTACTCAGCTGTGAGCAGTGGGTCTTACTCAGATGACATGTGAAACGGGTGAAGTGACTGCTGTCCCTCCTGGGAGGGATGGCTGTGTGGTGCCAAGTTGGTAAAGCTGCAATCCTGTGGTTTAAATGAGCAAACACGGGGGCAGAGAGAGAACAGAGTGAGCACCCGATGGCGACTGCTGGCATTCAGAGCCCAGAACCAACCTCCTTTTGCTCCAGCATCACTGCAGTATTTGTGTGGGGCCTGAGGAAGGCAGGGGGTGACCCCCATCTCCGAGCCCTGCTGTGCAGCAGGCAGCCTGCAGAGCAGTGGGACGTGCTGCACGCTGGGTTTGCTTCTTTCTCTTTGCAGCTCCGTTGTTTCTCTGCATCGCTTTGCCTTTCTGCCATGCCAGGAGCTTGGCCAGGCTGGCAGCAGGCTCTCCGCCTTCCTCGGGGCTGCATGCTAAGAGGTTGATTGGGAGCACTGCTGCCTCTATTGACCGCTCGCTCCCGAAGCCACGTGCGTGGGACCTTGTTCTCCTCCTGTCTCGCAGGTGGGGGAACTGTTCTGAAAGCTGATGAATTTCTCTTTTGCTCAGGCAATTCGGTTCGAGGCTGGAAACCAGCATTTTAACACGCAGATCCTCGTGAGCAGAATTGTCCACTTCAATCTCGCCCACCGCTCCTCCTGGTGCCCCGCGGGGCGCAGCGGCATTGAGGGAGGAAACTGTTCATTTCTCCTCCAGTTTCCTAATAGCTCTGCTGTACGTTTTGCTTACGCAAATGCAAGCTGCCCTCTCATCGGGGCGTTGGAGCTGACTCATGTAGGATTAGTTTGCTTCGGCCCAAGCTGGGAAAGGCTTCAGGATCAGGGATGTCCATGGAGCATCGCCTGCGGGCGCAGCGGGAGCCGAGGAGTGGAAGGTCCTCCAGGGAAACCTGAGCACGCAGGGTTTGCATGGCCTGTGACAAATTAGTGGCAGTGCTGCCTTGTTTGCTTTCCACAAATAGCAACGCCATGGCAAATGCCAGAGCAGGGAGCAGCATCTCCCAGCAGCAGGAGGGGGGAGAGGAGCAGCAGGAGCTCTGCGCCCTGCTCCAGCCTGCTTGCCCTTCGTGAGGTGGCTGTGTCCCCTATGGGGAGTTTTGTTTGGATGGGGCTGGATGCTGGAGCGTCGTCC